TAAATTGACTTGGTATAAAGTGAAGAGTGTAACAAATAATTTTTTCGTACAACATTTAAATTTTTTCCAACAAATTGTATTAATATTAAAGTGATCAATTTATCGTGATTAAACAATAAAAGAATTTCAGCATTCTTGAAGATACCAAAATCTTCAAACTTACAAAAATATGCACCAAAACCTGTCTTGTGTGTTATGTAAAGGTCGTTCTAGTACCAATATTGATCAATTTATGTTGTTTCAAACTCAGGCACTAAATACAGCTCAAACACATCATTAGTATTATTGCGCATTTTTATTACACGTAGTTAACTTCAAAAGTCAAAAATTCGAAAAAACATCAATTTAACACAACTCATATATATGTAAAGACAATTTAATTTTATGATGTAATAATAAAGAATAGTTTTAACATTTTTATTTCGAAAGAAAATATACAGAAAAAAACAAGTAGTTTAATTCTCCCGTGATAATCATTCTTCTTGCGTCATTGCAATATACATACAATGACATAATAATTCTTTATTCATCCCCGGGACACATATTTTTAAACTTTTGATAAACTTATTTTATCATTATCATTATTGTTGCTTGTATCAAGCGTTTTTCCTTGTATCAAGCGTTTTTTACTTACGTCAAGTGATTTTACTTACGGCAAATGGTTTTACTTATGTCAAGGCCTTTGCTTTAGTCAAATCGCCAAGATGGCCATGGTGAGAAACTATCTTTAGTCAATAATTTAGTTACCTCAATGGCTAAAGTCAAAAGTTTCGTCGTACATCATTAGATGGTCTAAACAAAACAAAACAAAAAAATCGAAACATTCAAGTATATAAAATCGACACATTTAATATAAATCTGTCCATACCATTATAGTAGAGTCAGTTTATTTTATTATCAATGGAATAGTTGCAAGTACCAATGCAACAAAATTGATTAAGAGAGATCAGATTGGTTGATGTATGTACATGTATACTTGATCTCGGCTTGGCACTTCAAGAAATATTTTTTACAAAAACAGCGAAACAACTTGAGAAATTACTTGGTAAAGAAATTAGTTGGTTAATTTCATACTTTCTTAGTTAAATTGTCTCAATTTGTTTATACCTGGCAAAATTAGCTTGAATATCATCGGGGAAAAATGAGCTATTGTCAGGAAATTGAGCACAATAGCAATGATAGTAATCGATGATTTTAATGAAAAGTTGATGCAAAATTAAATGATTATTACATAATTTACTGAATAAACAAAACGTTATTTTTAATAAATATTGTAACAATAAATAGGATAAAATTTACATGAATATAAATATAATAATATCATCATTATGAATATAATAATTCTGCCAATGATCAGGAAATTCGTTGTAAAAATCACAAATATTTGGTAGCAAAGTACCAAGGTTTCCCGAAAACCTCGTATTAACAGCGAATGGCCATGATAGTTATAAACAATTTGACAATGCAGTTAATATCGAATGTGCAAAATATGTTATCAAAGAATCATTAAACAAATATGACCCAAAAGAAACTCCAACAAACAAAAAGACCAATTGATTGCTGATTTAGATATCAGTGAAAAAAAAAAAAAGAATTCGTTTCTTATCTATTACAATGATGTCTACTATAACATTTTCATTCTGTCTGATGTTGATGGAGCAAACAACCCCTTCGCAAACTAGTCAAAAAGTTGTTATCCAACATTATGAAAGAATACTAGTGATTATCTTTTAGAGGAAGAAAGAGAGATTTAATACTAGATAAATAAATAGAATATATTGTCTATAAATCAGTAAGAAAACTTGAACTTTGAATTGATTTGCAACGAACCTCGTTCCACGTGATATTTTTCTTTGCCCTATCACTTGTTGGTTTATTATTACACGGATCATTTACCAAAAAAAAATTTTATAAACATTGTTTTTTTTAACACGTAAAAAAAAATTTTTTTTTACACGTTAAAATATATATATATATAATTTCGTCTAAAAGATGTTCATATACATTAGATATGAGGAAAAAGACGTCAAAATTCAATGTAACCCAACTGATGATATTAAAGAAATCAGAGAAAAAATAAATGAAAAGGCAGGAGAAAAATATTCACCAGAAAAACAAAGACTATTTTTTGGTGGTAAACAGGTAACAAAAAAGAGATTGTATATATAAGCGACTATAACAAATTTAAACAACTTTTATATTACCATCAAATATAAGAAACTCGTAAAAATATATGATATAATAATATATATAATTAAATTCTTTTAATTTTGCATGTAGCTAGAGGATGGGAATACACTCTTTCATTATGGAATTAAAAATACCAACACCATCCTACTTTTTCAGAAAGTTTCAATTAATCAACAAGAATTTAACCTTGATAATAATATTGACAATAATAACAACAACTCCAGTAATTATGATGATAATATTTCATCATCATCACCAACAACAGTCAAAGAAACTGTAGTAGCACAAGAGTCATCAAAAGAAGACCAACCACAACAAAATGGTCCAACTAATAATGATAAAGACCAAACTACAAATGGTAATAATAATGATGCTATTACTACAGAAAGTTGTGGCAACACAATTGAAGAAGAATATTATTGTGAAAAATGTAATAATAATAAAAGAAAAAAGTGTAAAGAGTGCGGTTGTAATCTTTGTGGAGGAAAGGACGACGAAGAAAATACTATTGTTTGTGATGAATGTCAATATTATTATCATTTCAATTGTTTGAATCCTCCTTTGCAATCTCTACCAGGAGGTGACTGGTAACTAGCTAACTAAATATATGATTAGTTTAATTAATTAATTGGTTGTATTTTTATTCAAAATTTTTTTTTTAATTTAATCAAGGTTTTGTGACTCATGTACAAATGATAACAGTAAGGTGATACTGGCTGGTCAAAGGTTAGATCTTAGCAATTCCAAAAAAGCAAAAATGCCTTCAGCTACACAAACAAGAAAATGGGGTGGTGGTATGGCTTGTGTTGGTACAACCAAAAAGTGTGAAGTGGTTGGCTCTGATCATTTTGGACCGATACCTGGAATCCCAGTTGGTTCATCTTGGAAGTATCGTGTTAGTTGTTCTGAATCTGGAGTTCATCGGTGAGTTGATCAAATAATATATATATATATATATATATAATCTCTCTTTTTTAAAAAAAAATTTAAGGCACATTATTAATAGCGTTAATAATAACAATTATAATTACAATTATAATTGTTCAAATTAGTCCGCCTGTTGCTGGCATAGCAGGAAAAGCAATTGTAGGTGCTGTTTCAATTGTTCTCGGAGGCGGATATCCTGAAGACAAAGATAATGGTGAAGAGTTCACATATACTGGTAGTGGTGGAAGAGATTTGAAAACTGGTAATAAACGAGTCGCTAGTCAAACTAGCGATCAAGAACTTACAAAACAAAACGAAGCACTTGCACGTACGTGTGACGCAAGTTTCAACAATAAGACAGGCGCAGTAGCGAAAAATTGGAAAAATAGTAAACCAATTAGAGTTTGTCGTACTGAAAAATTGAAAAAACATAACCCAAAATATGCACCAGATGAAGGAGTTCGTTATGATGGAATTTATAAAATTGTCAAGGTAAAAAAAAATAATAATTGTAATAATTATAATTTTTTAAATTAATATTTAAGAATATTATTTAATTTTGCATCGTATAAATTCAAAAGTATTGGCCTGAAAAAGGAGCATCTGGTTTTATCGTTTGGAGATATCTTATGCGACGTGATGACATTGAACCAGCTCCTTGGACTCCAGAAGGGAAAAAAAGAATTGCCAGCTTAGGGTTGAAAATGTATATACCAGAGGAATGTAAGGATACAAATGATAAAAAACGTGGTTTAACTCAAGGTTCATCTACTTCATCATCATCATCGTCAAAAAAGGCAAAGAAAATTCAAAATTACAAATTACCTGGTGACATCTCAAAATTGATTAAAAAAGATAATTTGAATAATCGCGTTTGGAATATTGTGTTAGGAACAGAATATGAAACCTTGGCCGAATTGATTTCAAGTCTTGTTGAAAATCATTTTAAATGTCCAGTATGTCATGAGCTGGTGCAAGATCCTGTTACTACACCATGCACACATAACGTTTGTAAGGAATGTATCACACAATCTGTGAATCACTATGGTAGAAAATGCCCAGAATGCCGAACCGAATTCAAGGAGGATTTAAAATTTACTAAAAATCAAAATTTGGTTGATACGCTAAAAAGTATTATACCAACTTATGGTAAATAAATAATAAGCGCGTAATTTTTGTAAATTCGAATAGAATAATCTTTATTTTTAATTGATATGTATGAAATTAATAATAAAAATATTTTGGTAACAATTGCTCGATGATTGTCTTTAGACAATGCTTCAAATTGCATAATAATATTATTATTATTGATAACAAAGTTCCCAACATTTTATAATTTTCTATTGATCTAAGAATTGATTGATAATGAAAAATCAAGAGACTAATATTAATATTATAGGCGTTAAAGATTTATTTTCAGGCAGACCTAGAAGCCTACGTTAAAATTTTTCAGTGTCGTTAAGCAGAACTTTACAGACTCAGCTTAAGATCGCCAGTTATTATTCATATCAACCTTAACGAGATCAAAAAGTAATAGATCCCATCTTTATCTTTGTCCTTATTGTAGTGATCAATGAAATTTCATTAAGGATAATATCTGGTCTTCGCTTGAAAAAGCATGACTTCGGGTCCTTGCAGATGAAAATAATAGATAATTAACATCCTAATAGAATAAAACTCTCATTATTTTACTAAATAAAGTTAAATCGTTTAAAAATAAAAATAAAAATAAAAAACATTTTCTTTATTTTCTTTGTTTAAAGCGCTTTGATAAAGAACAGTGTAGTTAATGCCTTGATAAAAGGTAACAATTGTGGAGCTTTGGTAAAAAAAGCCACATTTATTTACTTTAGTGAGCAAGAAAGCAAGGTTAGGACTAACGTTGGTTAACTAGTGAGTGTTAACAACGAGTAGTAGCGTAATTTGCTTTAGTGAGTAAGCAAAGGCTAGGAATAACGTTGGTTAACTAGTGAGTGTTAATGAGTATCGTCAAAAGATTAATGCTGGTAATGTTATTGCAATCATAAACGAAATGCTGTTAAACAAGTTACTTAAGTTGTTTTGCATGTAAACCAAAGCGAGTTTGCAATCAGCCAAAAAATGTAAACAACTAAACAAATCGATCACAAGTGAATAAAAGGAATTTATAGCATTGTAAAAGGTCTTATTTACAGTTATCTGGTATCATTAAGTGTGCTCTAGGTACAAGAAAGAGTAAATTCATAAACCAATTAATTGACAAGACCAAATTATTTGCAATTGACTGACAAGGAGTTTAAGCCATGATTGTTAATTAACCTCACCATTTAACAAGAATCAAAAAATTGTAAAAAGTTTATTATTCCAAAATATTATTATAATTTATAAAATAAGGCTAAAATAAAAAGATAATGATAAATTTACGGTGGTTAAATTAGTCATTCGTCGCATCTTTTCTTTTACTATTGTTACTAGAATTTAATGTTTATTATCAGCATAAAGTTGCCTTGTTGAAAAGAATCAACGTTTTTAGTGTAAATTTTCGTGTGTATTTTGACCCACTATTATGAGTTCAAAAAGCGGCTTTATTTTAAATAAAAGGTGCCAAAATATTTATTGAAACTTCAAGAAAATTTTTTATATATATCATTTTTTATTAATATCGTTAGTAATAATTAACGAGCAGTAACTTTCAATTGATTGATAATGAAATTTTTATTCACATTTGTTAACATTTTAGAGAAAATAGTTGATATTTTAATTCGGATATTTTTTTAAATCTCTAATTAATAATTAATATATTAAAAACAAAGGTTTGTAAATTTTTGTATATAATTAATGCTATCCAGCCATAACAAATCATTAATCTTTGAGAAGATACTCGACAACTATTACTATTACTATGTAAAAAATTTTATTAAAACGTGTATTTTTTTAAAACCTAATATTAATATAATTAAAAACACATTGCACAACCATGTAATGTTATAAGTGAAGTAGACATGCCTCTCTTATAGTGTAGCAAATGCCTTTTCTTGTGAGGTTAGTGTTCCTAACCGAAAATCAAATTTTTTATTTATATAATAACAATAATAATAAGATTTAACTATTTATTAATAAAAACAAAAAAAAAATTTTTTAAAAATGTCCATTCTATTGTTATCATTATCGTCATCATTATTATCATGATTGTCGTTATTGTTTGTTGATTGTTGTTATTATCATCATTATTATCATTGTCATAAGAATAATTGTTATTACTATATTATTATTCTTATTAACATTACTATCGTCGATACTGCCGTTGCCGTTGCTGCTGTGGCGCTGCCGTCTTTGTTGTCGTTCTTTTAAATATCGCTCTTGTCGTAGCCTCTCGTTTGAGGTAGCTACTGCTGTCGATATCATTGTTGTAATAAATTTTAGAGAGCATCGCGTCGATCACATGACTTAATTATAAATAGGATTTGTTTGTACTAATATATTGATGTTATTAATATATTTTATAATCTAACGTATAAAATTTACTTATTTATTAAAATATACTTTCATTAAAATGAATGATCAAGCAATTTTATTAACTCGGTGTTATTATTATTGTTGTTGTGGTTGTTATTCGGAATACAAGGTTACACCGGGATTCAAAGAATTCAGCCAATGAAATTTTTTTATTTTTTATTCGTATAATAGTGATAAAATTAATTGTTCCAACAGAAGTGGAAGTTTCTGAAAAAGTAACAAATTCAATATTAATATAAGTATCACCTAAAATAATTAATCAAAATATAAATATAGGAACATATGTACATACATATATAAAAAATAAAATCTTCATCTATTATTCTAATTGCAAATAGTAGTATTATATTTAATTTGGTATATGCGAGTTAAGGTTGCTTCCTAAAACCTCTTAGTGACTGCCAAAACCCTAATAAACAATTAGTGTGTATCTTGCCGAAACTCTGCCGATTGCCAAAACCCCCAAATGACGAAACAATTATCGTGTAACCTTCCAAAACTTTACCAATTGGTTTCTGGAGGGTTTTAGCAGAAAATAATAGTGTGAGCAGATATTTTTGATCTATTTTGCAATTATTTTTGATTATTTCAAGGTGCTTTTCACTGTGTTTGAAATTCTTAAATCTTTGGACTTCGGTTTTAGCATTATTGAATCTTTTTGTTGCACATCTTTTACATATTGCGAGACAATTACTCTGGTTTATCCTTATATTTTTATCAGCATAAGCAAACCAAGCTTGTCCCCCGTAATCAATATCAAATGTTGCAATGTTGCAACAATATGCCTCTTTTGTTGCAACAAAACCGTAATGTTACAACATACCCGTAATGTTGCAACACATCCGTAATTTTACATATTATACATAATGTTGCAACATAAACACGATGCAGTTAGACCGCTTTTAAAAACATTATTATTATTATAAACATAAGCACAAAAAATTTTATCTATTCATCATCTAATTACAGTAAATAAGAATGTGGATCTCCATTTTCGTATATATCGCTTTTCTTGAAGATGGTTGATATCCAAGATTTATTGCTTTTAAAAAATCAATGAAAAACGGGGTTTCTACAAGGCGGAAAGGTAATGCGTGATTCTTCTAAATCAACTGAACAAAGTAGCCATCAATATGACGTTGTCCAGAATGTTCAAGAGTTTAGAAAATGTAGATTTTGTAAAATCAATTCATTTATTTCATTTTTGATAGTTCAAATGCTTTTGAACATTGAGTAACACAATAATGTAAAAGATACCTTTAAAAAATGATAAGCATGGCTTACATGTAACTTGGTAATGTCCATTACCAAGATGGTTACCACGTGTAAAATATTCCTAAATATCACTATATTTTGGACCAAGTTTATTTTTGTTGTCAATCATCTTTAATTATTATATTCGTGAGAGAAGAGAATGATATCATTAGAAAAGTAAGGATCATACTTTTTATTTGTATAATAAATATTACAACACTACGGTTAGTTGCAACACCAACCCTCCAATGTTGTATAGTTGCAACACCGTAATACCGTAATTTTACATTACGGATGCCAACTCTAAAGCAAACACATTTGTTTTCCACCAAGCTTTCTTAACATTTTTTTAAAAAAAATATTCGAATAAAAAGTTAGTAACACTGGAATACTAGCTTCAAAAATATTAGAGCAAGAATTTTATTTATTAATCTATATACTTCAAATTCTTCTAATAAATGAACATGCTTATGATTATTCCTAATACTAAGTAAAGCTTCTGACAGACCAGGTTTGGGTGGATCAAGTGTTAATATTAACCCAAAATTTTGGATCAGTTTCGAGTTTGATCCAAATGTTTTAAAGGCAAACCCAAGTCTGACTCAAGACCAACCCGAAAATTTTAGGTTGATTTTAGGTTTGTTTTGAGTTAATAAGAAAATTTTGTGATAAATTTTCCATCTGAATTTTACTAATTAATATTAAATATAAATAAAAATAAAAGTCAAAAGAGTTATATTTGTGCATGACACAAAACACAATTTGTGATGCAAGGTGTAGTCCAAGACAATTCATAATGCAAGACATAGTTATAACACAAGACTAGTGATGGTTGCTGAAACTAACCCATAATTTTAGGCATTTTGGTTTAGGCTTAATTTCACCCGCGAAAATTTTCTGCAAAACTTAAACTGCAGGAGAATACCAATGGACAATTAATATTAAACCTACTGTTTAATTTTCAACCATAGAAGTGTTTTTATTAAACAAAAAAAATTATTTTGTTTTGTTATTATATTAAATTATAAAAATGTTTATTACAGTTATTTTTGTAATTAATAAAAAATGCCAACAGCATTCCAATAAATCCATTTTATTTATAACGTTTCTTCAAACACGATGAATTTCAAAACTGCACAATGATACACACATGCTTTGCCTACATGAAAAAAAGGATAGGAAAGTTGATCTCATTTGGGACATGCTGCAACAAAACCAGACAAAGTGAATATACGTGTTACCAAGAATTTCAGGTTCAAATTTAATCATGTAAACAATTTTACAATGTCTTTGGTTTTTTCTTAAGTGATATATATATAATATAAGAATTTTTCATTTTTCTCTATTGTAAATTGTAATAAAAAAATTAATGAGGTCAAGCATCTTAAATTTAGAAAGAATACAAATAATGCAATAATGATTACCTGTATTTTTTCTTTTCTAATTGGTGTATTAAATGTTGGGGTCAAATCTATATCAATATTTGGAGTGTGCAAACTAGTAACTAGTGTATTAACTAATGATTTGATATGATTTATGTCTTGTTTTAATAACAAATTCAAATTATAAACCAACTTCAACAAATTTATAAATGTTAATTCAAAATGTTCTTCTTTGTATGGAATGTTGACTGCCATAAAATGTTTAACTCGGTATAAAGGAAATGTATTATAGTCCATAATATAAGCATCTAGGCTTATATCTATAAAAAAGCACTTTTACATTAATAATTAAAATAATTATAAATTTTTCAATTATTACTAATACATACCATGTGCATGTAAAAAGATAGTTTGGAAAAAAAAAATCCTTTGTATCAAATGGTAACCTGAATGAAAAATTTCTTACCAAGAATCTTTAACAAATTTACATAATCATGTATAATCTTCATTTATGTGATCACAAGCATTCTTTTCAAAAGGTCCATCCATAGCTTATTTCCCGAAAAAGGTACTCCCATGTGAAATTTAATTGTTGTTAAAAAGTTCCAGTTGACTCTAAAAATTTTATTATGGTTGAAAATCGCTTGCTATATGAAAAACGGATATTTTTTTGGGGAGAATTGTTACTCGCGCCTCCCGTTTTTGTTATTCGCACCCCACGTGACTAAGTGTAGTAATGTGACCAATGAATGGCTTAAAATGTGATTTTATTGGACTTGGTTACGGGAGGAGTGCGAATAACAAAAATGGGGACAATTTCCTTTTTTTTTTTTGTAATAATTTTATTCGTGTAACGTTTATGTTGAATGACACTTGATCTGCCATGTCCCAACTAGTGTGTATATAGCAACTGATATGACTATGAATGATAGATACCATTAAAGAAAAGTCCATTATAAATAAACCAACTCGTTTGTTACCAATAAAAAATTTATTATGATTACTGTAATCTTTTAAGGGAATGTTTATTTTTTATGGAATTCCAAAAAAAAAAAGTTGCGTGCAACATTCTAAAAATGACAAAAATTGGCGTGATAATGATTTTCTGGTCTATTTCTGATAAATCCGGTTGAAATTATAATTAGTATTATTAGTATTAGATAGTAATAGCAATCAGTTTTGTTGTATTCATTACAAATTTGAAAGTTAAAAAGAAATTTAAAATTAAAAAACATAAAACCGTAAACGTAAAACAATAAATTCTCTTCAATTGTTCCCCAATTTACATTTAGAGTTCAAATTTTTTTTATCGACATAAAACTTCTAACAATTTATCAAGATAAATTTTTGAGAATCCTTTTCATGTATTGTGTGTATTGTGTGTGTGCGATTTAAATCATTCTAATTATATTGGAAACACGTTCAATTTACCCATTTAAAATTATCGAATTCATTTTTTTTAATTCGGATTTTAACCCACAAATGGATATAATGAGATTAATAGGTATTTAGGACAAATAAATTTCTTCGATTTTATATGGATCCTTGGCGGTAGTTTTTTTGGTGTAGTGTAACTATTTTACTATGATTAGATATTGATTATCTGCAATTTTTAATACATATAATCGGCGAAACTTATGTTACAATTTTACAGAAAGAAAACCCAAATTTATTAGCAAATATTTATTATTATTGTTATTGTTATATTCGTCCCATGAAAACCGGTTTATCCTGCTGATCATTAAATAAAAATTTATTCTCGTCCCTTAAAAATTTAAGGTATCAGTATTTTTATTAGTACTAAAGGCTTATATTTTGTAACCTTAAAATTAAAATTAAATAATAATAATAACAGGAACCGAATTAGTTTGTGAAGCATAAATCATTAAATATTAGCAAATTGAATAGACTGTTTTATAAATATTAAATATTTGGTACACAGGATTCTAAACTTTAAATATTGTTTCGAGGTTTACATTTTACAAAATGTATAAAAATAAGATGAATCCACAAAACAAAAAAAAGATAAATTTTGAAAAACTTCTTTGTATATCGTGCGAATAATTCTCAATTTAGAAAACAATCACTATTTTACAATAATCGATATTTAAAGAATTCAAAATCCAACAATTCAAAATTTGATATATTCAAACAATTCAATTCAACAACCAATTAATATTCAAATTTAATATATTCAAACAATTCAAAACTCAATAATTAATTATAATTCAAAAAAATAGATTCATTTATTCGTCAATAATTCAATAATAATAAAAGATATATAAAGCATTATTTATGGTCTTTTTTGTGAAGAAATAAAAAAATTTTCATAAAAATTTGAATAATTCAAAAAAAAAACAATGAACAATCTCAATAACACTAGCTCAGATATAAATTTAGTTGATGAAGAGTTCAAAGATCTTCGACTTAAAGGTGCAATTTGTATTGTTCTCTTTAGCACAATTAGTAGTATATCATCTTTTTCAATGTTTTTCTGGATAGTTTATCAGAAAAGTCCAATGAATAATGTTATCACCAAATTAGTAATGAATTTATTAGTTGCTGATTATATTCAAAGTTCTGGCTTTAATTTATCATATTATTGGATTATAATGGGTAGAATAGTTCCAAATATATTATGTGATGCTCAAGGCTTTTTGATAAATGTTGGTGATGTAACTTCAGGTAATTATATTAAAGAATCTCATCACTATCATTGTTTATTCATAGTTCATAATTCCATAATTTATAATAATTATACATGACATATATAGGATTATGGGCATTAGCGATATGTGTACATACTTATATGTTGGTAGCACATTCATATGAATGTCCACATTTAGTGGCTATAAGCATGTTGATAATTTGGCCTTCAAATTTAGCATTGTCATCTTTAGGATTTATTTTTCAAATGGGAACTCAAAGCAAATTTTACAATTTTGCAGAAGGATCTTGGTGTTGGATTTCACGAGATTATGAAGTTTATAGAATAGCATTTCATTATGGAATAATATTATTTATTGCTTTGGCAATGATAGTTTTTTATTTGCTGATGTTTGCTATTTTGTACAGACGCCAAAGATTAATGTCAATGCAAAATTCTAAAAAAGTAATACAAAATGTTAATAAAAAATTAGTTTGGTATCCTATAGTATACCTCGTTTTAGTATTTCCGTTGGGTTTACGTGAGTACTTTGATATTTTCTTGATTTTGTTGCGTATTAAATAAATCTTCACTGATCGATCATTTTATGTATATGAAATAGTGCGAATTATTTCTATTGCTAGAAAAGATGAACCTATTCCGTTTGTATAGTAAGTTATTATTTAAATAATTGATTTATTTTATTGATCGATTGATTAAAAAGTGACCATGAATTGATTAATTATTAGTATAATACCAGCAGCATGCAGTTTTACATCAGCAGGATTTGTTAACGCACTGATTTACTGTATAACACGTAATCTTGTATCGTTGCGGGGTGTACTGGGAATTGTGCCAAAAATTCGTAAACGCGTAACAATAATATCATTGTCAACAGTAACATCAGCAACAACATCATTTTCAACATCAATTAAAGATGAAAATCAAGAAGATGGAGATCACAATATTGATGTGATAAGTAAAATCGAAGATGTCGAATTAAAATCAAATTCACCCCCATCGAAAGGAAAGATTGATTCTGAGAATAGCAATAGCAATATGGATCCATCAGATGATCACAATATTGATATAATAAGTAAAATCGAAGACGTCGAATTAAAATCAAATTCACCTCCATCGAAAGGAAAGATTGATTCTGAGAATAGCAATATAGATATAGATCCAAATCATAAATCAGATGATCACAATATTGGTGTAATAAGTAAAGTCGAAGATGTCGAATTAAAATCAAATTCACCCCCATCAAAAGGAAAGATTGATTCTGAAAATAGCAATAGCAATATGGATCCAAATCATATATTAGATGATCACAATATTGGTGTAATAAGTAAAATCGAAGATGTCGATTTAAAATCAAATTCACCTCCATCGAAAGGAAAGATTGATTCTGAAAATAGCAATAGCAATATGGATCCAAATCATAGATCAGATGATCACAATATTGATGTAATAAGTAAAATTGAAGATATCGAATTAAAATCAAATTCACCTCCATCAAAAGGAAAAATTGATTCTGAGAATAGCAATATAGATCCAAAAAATTCTAGATCAGATGGTGATTGCTCGGATAGATCAAATTCACCTAATTCATTTATTAACATTGTGAAATAATAATTAGTTGTTTAGATAACACTGATAGCAATAGCGATGTTAATAGTAATAGAGCATTTGACAAATTTGATTTTTAAAACTTTGATAGTATTATTGTATATTATGTTAGAATTTATTATTATTTACATATTTAATATAATTTTTGTTCAAAAAATTTTTAAAAATAATATTTGTCCCCAATCTTATTTCTACGCTGTCAATTTCAATATTTGCTCCTTCTGGAAGCTCTGTAAGGCACATTCCGCAAAGTAGGCCAACTAAGCAGTAAAAACACCGTTGACTAATAGATTGATTTTTTCCTAATCCGTATCGTATACAAAGAATACTATTATAAAAACTTAACCCTGAGCCCAAAGTTTACTTACATAATAATGCTAATACCGATGGACGTTGTTTTCCAGGTGTGACAACCAGTTTTAATAGTATTTTGAACGTGAGTTACATATTAGTAACTTTGGACTGTAAATTGTGTGCATAGGTTTTGACACATTCAATTCATTATTTATTTATTTTACAAATTTATTTATTTATTAAACCTTATTTACTATTGGATTTTATTTTGAATCCATATGCTAAATGAACTATTGGTTCTTGTTACAGTCACACCTCTTTTATACCCTATTATTTTAACCTCGTTTATTCCATTGAGTTATATCCCTATCCCCAATTTTTTGGCTCCATTATATTCCCATTTTAAGGATATATATATATACAAGTGTAACCCAACGTTTACAATAAATTTTACAAATTTTTTGGCGTCGTTTTTTATTTCTTAATATTAATAACAATGGTTTTTTTTTGGTGGCGACTTGATTGATTTTTTTAACAACAAAGAAATTAATCATCAATTATTCTTTTTTCTTTGGTGGCGAATTGGTTGATTCCTTTAACAAATAACAAAGAAATTAATTATAAATTATTCTCTTTTTTCTTTTGTGGTGAGTTTGTTGATTCCTTTAACAAATAACAAATAAATTGATTATCAATTATTCTTTTTGCTAGCGACTTGATTGATTCCTTTAACAACAAAGAAATTAGTTCTTTTTTCTTTGGTGGTGAGTTGGTTGATTCCTTTAACAAATAACAAGGATAATTTTTTTTTTGTTGATTCCTTTAACAACAAAGAAAGACATGGCTGATTTCTTTTGACAATAAAAAAAAATATCCTTTTTTTCACAGTTGTGGCAAAGTATCTTCTTTACATGTAAAAAGAACTTGGTTTTGACTTTAGCATAATATGTACACATTCTTTTATCCTAATAATTGAATAAAATAAAATCCCAATAAAATTTATAAATTCATAAACTGGAATCTATTATTTCTATAGAGGGAGGAAGAAAAGCATTTCAAACCGCAAAAAGATTCTTAGAACAACAAGAATTTGCTACAAAAAAAAGATGTCAAGTATGTCGGTGAATTAATAAAACGTTTAAATAGTTATTAACATTGAATATTTTAAAGTAAAAACCACGTGAAATGATCAACTGTTTGAAATATACCCCACAAAAGTACTGATACAAAAAGGGGATATAAAAGAGGTATGACCGTATACTAAGTTACTAATTAATTATTTTTTATCATGATTTTTGTTTGTTTATTTGTTTATTTGTTTATTCGTTTATTTTGTCATAATGAACTTTTGGATCCTTGTTAACAAAGGCTGCCGTGTTACGTATGGTGGAGAACTGAATGACGTGTAACAAACAAATTTTTCGTACAGTTTATTTTAATTGCTGATTAATTGATAAGGATATAAATTGAAAAATGAAAATTGCATTATTTAAATAACAACTTCATCATCACCAAACTCTAGTGATCGATTTATTGTGATTAAATAATAAAAGGATTTCATCATTCTTTGCTTCTATATATTTTTATCACTTTTAAAATCTTCAAATTTAAAACTTACAAAAATCTGTACCAAAACCTGTCTTATGTGCTATGTAAAGGTCGTTCTACACGACTGATAATGATTGTCAGTAAAATTATTCATTACACATGAACAAAACTTTAAATGGCAATTGCGGCTGAAATACCTAACCAAACCTATTTCTTTTAAAAAAAAAAGATAATTGAACTTTTGACTTGTCATTTTAATTAAAACATCATGTCTCAATTAACAGACTTTAAACAAGGAAGAATAATTGGATGTTGGGAAGCAGGTGAAAGTACTCATGACATTGCTGGTGTACTCAATCATTCTCAGTCACAAATAACTTGTGCAATAAAAGTGCATAAGGAAGATGATAAAACTACTATTACTCCTCCAAAAAAAATATAAATGAATTAGTTTCTTATTTAATGGATGAATGAGCTGATTTTGATCCTGATTGTTTGCAAAAATCGACTCATTGACTATTTGACACTTATAAAAGATTGCTCAAATCCCGCAACACTGCTTTTTTCCTTACTTGGGATAGATTGTATGATTTTGGTTTTGATCCACTATTTTTTTTTTTTGTAAATTCAATTTGTTGTTTGCCTATATTTGTAAATAAATGCTCATTATACATGAGTCAAGTGAGCATTAAGCTGATTAAAAAATCAATTTTTACTAAACATAATTTTTTGGAAACATGAGATGAAAAAAATGAGATGTTTCTTTGATTTAGTTAAAAAATTTTTTTTTCACTCTTTGAAATGATTGATGTTATACATATTGTTAATGATTATTATTTTTATTATTTAGTTCATCTGATGTTAAAAAATTGATTTTTCCTTACCTTTTTGTTTTTATTTTTTATCTACCACATCCGTCTATTGGAGAGGTTTCTTTTCTTTTGTTTGCTGCGGTTTAACCTTTGATCAACTAACTCCAGAAATAATCAATAACCGATAATAACTAAAAATAACGTACAATAATAAAAATAATAATAAATAAATTGTTTGTTTATGTAGCAAACAAAGTTGTCTATCTATATATATACAACATACAAAAATTATTCTATTACTAAAGTGTATGATTATTAAGCAAATACAGTTGTCGCGTAATAAAAATCACATTTGGTCAATGAATGAATGTGCCGTTGCAAAGTTTTTGTTCCGTTCGCGAATTAGTCATTTTTTTGATTGTGATCCTTCTTCCCTTTAAGCAAGTTTATGTTGCAAACAAAGTAATCTATCTATATATATATGCAACAAACAAAAATTACGCTAGTACTAAAATGTATGATTATTAAGTAAATACGGTCGTCGCATAATAAAAATCACATTTGGACAATGAATGAATGTGCTGTTGCAAAGTTTTTGTTCCGTTCGTGAATTAGTCATTTTTTCGATTGTGATTTTTGATTGTGATCCTTCTTCCCTTTCCTACAACCAACAACATAGTAAAGATTAATGTCCAGAGGATCACTTCATACTTTAATATTAATGGTATCCCGGCATCGAGTGCCAGTTTCCCATCCAGAACGCGTTCGCGCTTACCGTTCACAAAACTCAGGGCATCACGTTACCGCACTCGACTTTAACCATCGACGAAAATATGTTTGCTGCCGGTCAGATCGATGTGGCGATGAGCAGGGCCCTTCCTGGAACTCGGTGGATATACTGTCCTTCGACTTTGACTCTTTGAAAGTGGATGAAAGGGTCATTGAGGAGTACAGCAGATTGAATCACCTGAGCCAAATGGGTTTGAGGGCGATTAATTAAGTGCGATGTGTTGATTGGTATTTTTTATAAATGTTATAAATGTTATAAATGTAGTTATTAAAATTATTAAAAAAAAATTTTTTAATTTTTTTTTTCTTTATATATGTGTGAGATTGATGATCCACAAGCTCACTTGAACAGGAGACCGTCCTATATAAGGAATGAATTTTCACATCACTTCAATTTGTTAATGCTATAAAAAATGAAACCATTCATTTGAAAAGGTAAGAAACAAACAATGCTGCAGTTATGTATGATAACAATGATTATTAAGGATTACATTTATTTTTTTGTCAAAAATCATTATTTTTTATTTAGTGTGCATATTTGACATCCAAATTTCAAAATGAAAAAGAAATCCAAAGTTATTATAATATCATTACTCAAGATATTTAATATCACAACTATAGTAGCCAGATAAATAAAAATAAATAATAAATAATTTAATACATAACAAGTAACAGGATTTAACTTATTCAGGTAAGTCATCTGGTATAGCTAAATCAATTTGTTTAGAATCTATAAAATATTTATCACATGAGTGGATATTAACAAATGTTGTGTTAATTTTAATAAAAATGAAAATGATCAATAATTGAATATTAATAATTACCATTATTATTACCAATAATTGTTACTTTATTGGAATTCACAGGTTGGGGAAGGTTTGT